AGGATCTTGCCAGGATAGCCACACCCCCAGTGCTACCCTCACCCCGACCAGGGAACGCGGGAGCGAGCAGGTCTTTCCAGCCATTCCTCAAGCACCACTCGGCTGCTTCTTTGCAGCCAGAATCAGAAGGAATATGATGTTCTTGAAGAGCGACCACGTGAGAACTCGCGTGCGCCAACCATTATTTGCAAGACCCCCAGGAGGTGGCATTGCAAGTCTGTATACACAAAGCGAAGTCCCCTGGGCTGGGCTCGGGCGGGGTCCTGAAAGACACAAAACCAGGGCTGCCAGAGTCCAAGCCAGGGCCAAAATTGGGCCCATCCACAGACGGGCCGCGGGGCTCGGGGGCCCCATGAGGAACCAAGGGGAACGCGACGGCACCTCTACGGAGGTGAGCGACAGCATTCTGATTACTAAAGTTATGACCTAAAAAGTTAGCTGCGGAAGCAGCCTCGCAGGTCGAGCCCTCAGCGTCACTGCCGAGCTCACTTGAAGATGGTGACGAATGCATACATGTGTGCTGCTGTGTACCCCCCTGCCTTACGCTACGCCTAGGCAGGGGGGGATTCCTTGGACTCCGTGCCACCGATGATAGCGTCTGCCTGGGCCAGGAGCTCGTCCGTCCTGACCTTCTGGCTGACATTGTCGGGTCCGTCCTGACTGCATGATGATCCTTTGCTTCCACCACTGCCAGGGCCTGCACCACCATCTTTCTCGGCTGCGCCTTCAGCCCGAGGAGGAGGTTGTGCTGCCTTGGCTTGACCATCAGGACCTTTATGTGTCTTGGACCATCTCTGAACGTGACTCGCATGGGCCTTTTTTGAGCTCCTCGAAATGCTTCTTCGCTTCTCCGAACAAACTTTGACGCTTCGGCCAGTACCTTGCGTAACTTGTTTGTTCTAGTCTCGAGCTCCTGACGGTCCGTATCCGTAACCTCGTAAATCTCAGGATCCACTCCAAAAAGGTCTTCCATACTGTCGTCGGCAAATGAGATGATATCTGCACCTTTCTCAAGGAAGGTATTGAGCGAAACTTGTTGGGATACCGACTCTGACTTTGAAGGATCTTCCTTACCTTGGAATGAAACTCTAATCTGCCCGACCAGGTCCTGGTACCGTTTTGACTGCTCTGCCAACTGGGTACGAAGCTGACCGATGGTGCTTTTCTTATCAATAAGCCATTGCTCCCATTTTTGGTATTGCTCCATTTCTCCGCGCAATTTCTCTTCCAAAGTTTTGATCTGGCGATCGCAAGAGTTGGCCTGAACTTGAAGGGGCACTGGTTGTTCTTGCTGACGGCGCCTGTCCAGACGACCTTGAAGAACAGCAGCTTGGGCCTCATTCCCCATCTTGCGACTGAGTAACACGAGCTGGCTAAGCTCGGCGTCGGAAAAAGACTCATCCTTGCCAACAACAGACTGTGGCCAAGCAGCTGCTTTGGAACTACCACCTTGAGGGCCCACAGGGAGTGGTCTTCCGTCGGCAAGGGCATCTGGCTCACCCCCAGCACCGCGAGGGGACACCATGACTTCTGAGCAGAGACCTCCGCACTGTTTGCAGAACCAAAAACGGGAGAGGTTATTCGCACATCCACATGAGCCGCAACGCCACCGATGCTCGTGAGAACCAGCAGCCTTGTTGCGACGCCAATCATTGCTCCAGTAGCGGTTCGCCATGGCCGCTGCTGCACACTCTTGGATGGTGAGAGAAAGATTGCCTCTGTGTCGGCCACCCCCCGTAGGGAGGCTAGACCTCAAGCGCCACGCGAAGGCCCAGAGGCAGGCCCGAAAAACTCGAGCCCGAATTGCTTGAGTCTGCAGGACCCGTGGGCGCGGGAGGGCGCGCAAGACGCGCTGCGGCAGCTGCAGTGGTGGCACGAAGGAAAGAGGGCAGAAAGGGCGGGGTCCCCAGGAGGTGGTGGGCTGGCAGGGAGACGTGCTGCGGCTGTGGAAAATGGAGGGGGGAGGTGCTGTGTTGCATCTGTCCCGTCGGGGCCCTGTCCGCGTCGAATCCGTGCCGAATACATGTCGGACTCGTCGGATGTGTCGAATCCGCGCCGAATCCACGCCAAATCCGCGTCGAGTCCGCATCGAGCCCGCGTCGGGCACAAGAGAAGGCACCAATTTTTGGGACAGGCGAGGTCGACCCCGAAGATGCAGCGGAAAAGGCAAGAGGCAGAACAGGGCAGGCGATTCCCATGCTGCCATCTGCTTACTAGGGAGCCCACAAAGGACGTACGCGCCCAGTTACGTACATGAACACGGTCCCTTGAAACGCGAGACCAGCCGCGTGGCACGAACATTCGCGCAATGCGAACTCTCGAGACCAGCGTGGATTCATGTGGGTGTACGTCCTTCTTTCGCTCCTGACTTACGGCACGGGCCGCGGCGGCCGCTGCCTCTGCTGGTGCCGCCGCTGCTGCCTGCCGGAGCTTCTGCTGCCAACGCCCGCCGACCCGCACTCCAAGCGCGCCCGGGTCCTGGCGTGCCAGCCCGCCCACAGCCTTACGCCGCCCTCGCTCGCCGGGCCGTCCCGCAACAGTCGTGCGAGGGCGCCGACCCTGCAGGACGGCGCTGCTCGCACCGCCCTCGACCCATCGAGCAGAGGAGGAAGCAGCCGCAAAAACGCAGACTTCCGGAGATGTCCTCGCGGATTTCCTGGGCACGTGGCACGACATCGCTGGCTGCCCGACCCTGGACGCCCGCCTCTTGGCTCCGCGAGCCCGTCGGCCCGTCGGCGCATCGCTCGGCCCGCTCTCCGCATGTTGTGGCGCGCACGAAAAAGCGCGTTTTTTCCTGCTGCCATAGCGGACGTTATGAGGGGGAGAGGACAAACCTCCCTTTAGTAAACCTCCCCTTCGTGAAAACGGCCTAGGGCCGAAACCGACGGACCTGGACCCGCAAAAATGACGGCCGCGACGCCCTCTCGCGAACCGAAAACGGCCAATTCACTAATCGACGTGTCAGGGTAGGAGGTCTATCCACCTCCGAGTTATGAGGGGGGGAGGGGGGGGAACGGGAGGGGGCATAACGTCGCGCACCCCCGGACGCACTGCGGCAGTGCCGGGGACGCACTGAGGGAGGGAGCGTTACGCTATGGGGGGGGGGGCGGAAACGGCAGGGCCGTTTTTTCACCGTTTCCAAAAAATGTCCCTGGAAAATGGAAACGGCCCAAAAAAACGGAGACCGGAAACGGCAAAAAAAAACGGCTCCAGGATTGGAACCAGAGTCGGAACCGATCAAAAAAGGCAAAACGGAACCGGTAACAAAACGGCCCTGTCGTTTCCAGGGGGGGGGGAGGGGAGGGGCCACGACGCGCGTCATGGCCGGAGGTTTGGAGAAGCACTCTCAAACGGCGCTGCTCGCCCACCCAACCTGACCATACCGCGCCCTGTATCGGGGATGGACAGACCCCCCTTTAGTAAAACGTGGTTTCGTGAAAACGACCTGAGGCCCAAACCTGGCGGGCGCAAGCCTGGAAAATGACGGCCGCGGCGCCCTCTCGAGAACCGAAACCGGACAATTCACTAATCGACGTGTCACTGTTGGGATTCTGTCCACCCCCGACTGTGCAGAGGCAGGCAACATCCGACCCACCCACCCTTCTCGGAGGCCCACGCGGACTCCTCGGATCGGCGCTGGGGCCCCCTGGCGGCGCCTCCGGCGCCGCCTCTGGCGCGCTCCGCGCGCCAGGGAGGGGGGTCCAGCGCCGATCCGAGAAATCCGCGCGGACCTCCGCGTTTTATGTTTATGTCACTTTTTGTTCCCCTAGATTCCAAGCCATCTCTGCCTCTTCCCCCCCCATCGTTCCCCCCCCCTCGAGCCAGTCCAATCCCGTCTGGGCCTCCAAGATTCCTAGATGGGGTCGGAGTAGATGGGGTCGGAGGATCGCGCGAGTGCCACCTGTCGGATGGTCGATGGGTCGCCATGGATCGCCATAGTCGATGGGTCGGATATTCTCGCCCACCCAACCTGACCATACCGCGCCCTGCGCAGAGGCAGGCAGAATCCGACCCGCCCAGCCTCCTCGGAGGCCCACGCGGCCTCCTCGGGTCGGCGCAGGGTGGCGCCCCTGGTATAGCGCCTGCGGCGCCGCCCCCTGGCGCGCGCTCCGCACGCCAGGCGCGGGGGAAGGAGCGTCAGGTCGGGCCTGTCCCCCTACAGGCAGATCCGGGGAGAAAAATAAAACATGGTAGAGTAACAAAATGAGTCCCCCCCCCCAAAAAAAAACAAACAACAACAACAGCAAATCGTCACCTGACTATGTTTCTGTTTTTCGAGTATTGCTCCTGTAGGGGGACATGCCCGACTTACGATGAACACCGATCCAAGAGAGTAAGCCCGGCGGACCTCCGAAAATATGTACTCCTGTCGTGCTTCTTCGACCATGACGAGGAGCCCGGGCACAAGCGATTAGCACTCGCCACCCTTCCGACCTCTTCACCGCTCGCTGCAATCTGGAGCCACCTGCAGCGAAGACTTACCAGCCTGGAACATATCCCTATCCCTATGCTGGGCACCTCCTCATCACGATGCCAATCTTGGGGATTCCCTTATTTTTTGAGGGCGAATCCCTAAGATTGTCATCGCCTTTTGGCGTGTCAATCTTGGGGATAGGGATACGTTCGAGGCTGGTAAGACTTCGCGTTCCCTCTGCACCTCTGGGTCGGGTGTTGCCAGAAGTGCCCCATGGCCCAAGGCGCCCCCAGGATGAGGCCCCTCACGAGGCCCATGGGGGCCCCAGGGGCTGCAAAATCGAGCGGAAAGCTGGGGACACCTTGGGCCAGGGGCACCATTAGCAACCTCCGATCTGGGGAAACCGAAAGATGCCGACAGCGGTACTCCACGGACCTCTCCTGGTGTACGTTCAGACCAGCCGTGGATGCCATGAGGCCCTCCCAAGACGACCAAAAAGATGAAAGCGAGGCCCAAAAAAAAGTGAAAGCGAGGCAAGGGCAGCGGTACTTATTACCTTCTCCTCCTCCGAATCTCGCGGGGCCACCCTGTTGTCGTCGATCTCGCTCTGGTCCGGCTTCCCGGGCATCCCGATGCCGCCCGGGGAGAACGTGCGGCGGCGGCGCGGAGTGTGGGAGATGGGCCTGCGGCGCGCCAAGACCCCGGGAGAGGCAGAGCAAAATTCTGGCCAGGACAGAGGCGGCCGCGTCTCTGTCCATATGCAAGAAAGACGCCGCATCATTAGGGGAACAAAAAGTGACATAAACATAAAACGCGGAGGTCCGCGCGGATTTCTCGGATCGGCGCTGGACCCCCCTCCCTGGCGCGCGGAGCGCGCCAGGGGCGGCGCGAGGCGCCGCCGGGGGGCCCCAGCGCCGATCCGAGGAGTCCGCGCGGACCTCCCAGTTTTCATGTTTATGCCACTTTTTGTTCCCCTAATGATGCGGCGTCTTTCATGTTTGGTCGCAGGGGAAGAAACAATGGCATGAACAGAAAAAGCTCGGAGAGATCCGGGCGGATTCCTCGCATCGGCGCCAGGACCCCGTGGCGGCGCCCCCGGGCGCCGCCACTAGCGCGCTCCACGCCAGGGAGAGGGGGGTCTATAGCGCCGATCCGAGAATTTCCGCGCGGACCTCCGACTGTTGAATGTGTATGTCTGAAAGGGCCCTGGGACACACAAATAAATACACACAAATAGAAGGATTTCCTATCTTTGTCCATATGTTCTGAGTTTTTGTCTTCCCCCCCAATCCGCGCGGACCTCCGGCTGTGGAATTCAGGAGCGGCCAAGAGGGGGGTGTCCAAGAGGGGAGGGGGGGGGTGCAAATCCTGACCAGCGGCATGTGCGCGGCCCAGCGGGGGGGCCAGGAACGTAATGAAATAAGAAGAGGCGCCATAAGATCTGGGAAGTATCATGGCCCCCGCCATGATATCCACCCCCCCTAGTCATTACCCCACTCTTTTCCGCCCCCGATGAGTGTGTATGTCATTGGTTCTTCCCGTGGGACTCCCGCCAGGCCCCGCTCCAACGCGGTACACGGTGCAGATGTTTGCTCGGCTCTGGAGGCCGACGGAACCATGCGCCTTCCCATTCCTGAGTCTCGGGTCGGGCGAAAGTGGGGGATAGCAAAGGGGGGGGTTGAGAATCAACTCACGTAGCTGATTTTCCCGGCGCCTCCCGGCGCCGGGAGGCGGCTATGTATCGAGGAATGGGCCCCTCGGTGAGGCCGAAACCAGCTGCATGCAGCAAATTTCGTAAGCCCCCCTTTCCCAATCCCCCCCTTTCGCCCGGCCCGAGAGTCAAAGACCGACGATGCCATGGGAGAGTCCAACGCGGCACGGTGCACACAGGTCGACCGCGGAAGTGTGGCTCGGACGCGCCACAGCCTATCTGATCGCGTCTCTGCGCATTCTGGCCATCGCTCGGATGTCCATTCCCTGTATTTTTTTCGGTTTCGTGCGTGGCTGTTTGGCCAAATGATCAAGGATGCTCCTCGATGGTCGTCGCCGAAGGGAAAAATGCATACGTCCGAGCGATGCCAAGCATATGCCCTTTGCACACAAAGGAAACGACAGGACTGAGCTGGATCGAGTCACGAAGCGGGACCGGATCGGAAACGGATCTGATCGCCAACGAATCGTTCCAGACCGAATCGGCACGGGACCTGTGCGCCCGATCCTGGCTTGACCTAGCCGATGCCCGAGAATCGAACAGACAGAACCGAATCAAATCAGCTTCACTGCCCCAGCCGGCAAATCGAATCGCTTCGCATCGGACCGCGTGCAGCCCTGCGAGGCAGGAAAACAGGCCGAGCGAACCCTGGTCAGGACAGAGGCGGCCGCGTCTCACTCGATTTTTGCTCGGACCCGCCATTGTCTGCCTGGCCGCATCTTGGCGCCCGTGCCCTTGCACCATAAGAAGATGGACTACACGTTCAACTTCTGCGATTAACTCAGGTCGGATTGGCTGAGAGCTGCCCGTGGGCAAAGCGCCGCTGCCCGTGGGCAAAGCGCCGCGCGCCGCAGTGCGGACGAGGAGAGCGACGACGAAGGACGATTGACGTGTCGCGTGGCGCCGCCTGCGTAGGGCCCGTCGTGGCCACCGCAAGCCTGTCTTCCTGCGTGCTCGGCACTCTGCGCGGCAACCGAATACCCATTGGTCGGAAGAAGTAGGTAGAAGCATGAAGTAGGAAGGCGTTGAAAGTAGATTGGGTGTCCGCCCGCCCCCTTGGGAGGACGGACAAGGTGAAGCCACTCGATCATTGAAGTAGGAAGGCGCTGAAAGTGCATTGGGATATGTGAAGGGACCCTGGGACAAACAAATAAATACACACAAATAAAAAGATTCCCCATATCTTCCCATATTTTCTTGGTTTTTGTCTTCCCCCCACTTCCCATATGTTCCCATCTTTTCCTGGGAGTCGACGATTAATTGTGTCTGCGTGTTTCTCCCCTCCTGAATTTGGGACTCCAAAAAGACGGTGGCTCCGTCCAAAGTTGCCCTGGCGAGCGAGCGCCGCGGCTCGGCAGAGGCGGCCCTCCCCTGTGCGACCCCAGCCCGCGCGAGCATGCGGATCCGATTGCACATGTGTACCACAGGAGGAAATTATGCTGGCGAACAGGGCTGAACCTAAACGGTGTTTATCGTTTTGGTCTTGTTTTCGTGTTCCTTCGTTTTGTCTTCAATCCGCTTTTACCACAAAACGAAGTCGAAACGAAAACGGCCCACGAAATCGCAAAAAACCCGTTAGGTCCAGTCCTGCGAAAGACCCAACCATATGCAGCTGTGGGTACCGCAATTGTATGCATCTTCTTCGGTGGAGCTCCCTATGGGGCCACGAAGCGCTGCACTGGGTGGGGGGGGAACGCATGCGGGCGGTAGCACTGGGGCCGTCGGTTGTCGGTGGAGCTCCCTATGGGGCCACGAAACGCTGTACTGGGTTGGGGGGGCGCACGCGGGCGGTTAACCTGGAACCTTCGGTGGAGCTCCCTATGGGACCACGAAACGCTGTACTGGGTGGGGGGGGCGCGTGCGGGCGGTGACACTCGGGCCTTCGGTGGTTTTCCCTATGGGGCCACGATGTGTGAAGGGTGTGCCAAAATGGGTGGGGGACGCATGCGGGCGGGGGCACGGGGGCCTTCGGCGGAGCTCCATATGGGGCCACGAAGCATGTGAGGGGTGTGCCAAATTTCGCTTTCGGGACGCATGCGGGCGGTTGCAGTGGGACCTTCGGTGGGGTTCCCTATAGGGCCACGAAGTGTGTGAGGGGTGATTGGGCTTTCGGGACTCATGCGGGCGGTGGCATTGGGGGTTTCGGTGGAGCTCCTTATGGGGCCACGAAACGTGTGAGAGGTGTGCCAAATTGTGTTTTCGGGACTCATGCGGGCGGTGGCATTGGGGGTTTCGGTGGAGCTCCCTTGGGGGCCACGAAACGCGTGGTGAGTGTGCCAAATTGTGTTTTCGGGACTCATGCGGGCGGTGGCATTGGGGGTTTCGGTGGAGCTCCCTTGGGGGCCACGAAACGCGTGGTGAGTGTGCCAAATTGCGTTTTCGGGACGCATGCGGGCGATGCACATCCATGGATGTGTGTATATATACATATATATATATACACACACGAACGTATGCATGTACGTCTTATCTGGGCGCTCAACCAAGTAGCTAATGCGAATGGGCTCGACGCCTCTCCCGCGTGAACACAGTGCATGTGTGTGTGCCCAGTCTTTCGTAATGGCGTCTATGCATCGTACATGCGCATGCTGCTTCATTGGCTGTTGTTGTGCACGTTCGTTGCACGTGTTAGTCGTGTATGGTAGTACGTTATTGTCTGATGTGGTGGCTGTACGATCGCCGTGCGGATCCTGTTTGCTCTTGACGTGTTCGGTTCATCGTGCGACCATGTACATGTGGGATGGATGGTGTCGATGCTATACTGACGCGTATGATATTACATGTGCAGGGTCGTGGTGTGGTTTTTAAATATGTGACTGTTGCATGCTTGTGTACGGTGTTGGTAAAGCTGTCAGAATGTGGCGTCAGTGCTGCCACAAGGAAACGATGTGGCATTCTTGTATGTGAGTGTGTATGTTGTCTGTCCCTCACGCAAGTGATTGACACTTGGCATTGCAGTGTCCTCGTGACGTCTGCTCTTGGTGTGTGCGTGTGGGTCCTTGATGCATGTCACTACTCGATGCTATTGGTTCATGTTCCTGGTGCATGTGTGTACAGCCTGGTAGTGCTGTGTCTTGCCCATGTGGGTCCTTCTTCATGATCTGAATGTGAATAGTTCGTGCGTGTTACTGAGGCGTGTTACTGAAGTACGACCGTAGTGCACACGTTTGGTATCTAGCGCAGATGTATGTTGTTGGTGTATGATGGTATGTCGTACATTAGTGTGGGATGTTGGAGCACGTTCTTGGTGTATGATAATGGTCTCGGTTGTGATGTCTGCTACTCATGTACATGCCTGTCGCATGCCACTCATATGCGTTGGACTTTCCTCCACACCGAATGGCACAACAACGAGACGGAAACATGTTATTATTATTAACGCGCGTTCTGATCTGGAACCGATGCGCGTTCTTGGCGTATGCTTTCCATGCCTGTTCTAGACGCCTGAGAACGGCGTAACATCGTGACGCCCGTCATGTCTGACCAGCCTCGGGATGCCGGCTGCCGCAACGCAACGCTCGAGACCCTCGGGATTCCGGAGCGCCCGGCACACGCGGCACTGCAGGGCTGGCGGCCGAGGCGGGACACTCGGCACTTTCGGAGTGCCTGGGGCCTGGCCGCCGCGGCACGCAGGGGTGGCGGGCAGAACTGGCAACCCACCCTCGAAACAAAGAAACTATCGGGGGGGAAACGAAAAGATGGTCAACAGATACTCCCCTGCGAAAGGGTAAACATAAGATCCTCCCAACGCACGTTTCCTCCGAGTATGCTGCAAAGACTGTCAGCTCGCCGGGCCCATTGCGCAGCAGTTCACCTCGAGGACGGGGAGCAGGTAGGAAGGAGGATGGACAGGACAAAGGCGGGACGTGGGCTGG